TCAGTAGATAGATGATAAATAAATAGATAATGGGAGGGTGGATGGATGGAAAGAACGGTTCTCTTTTACAGGAAAATGCTGACTATTGACTGGTAACGGTTGATAAAGTACTATAGTTAGAAAATCATCATAGGAAAGACCGATTCAAGCAAGGATCATCAATAGATGTTAAATCTGAGGGAAAATTTTTGAAGAGGAACAAGACATTTGCATGATCTTAAAATACCTCCCCCACAGATCGCTTATTAGTTGTAAGCGTGAATATAGTAACTACACAGTGGAAAAATCAGGCAATGCCTTGACCAGATAATCAAAATTAATATCACCAATAAAGGACAGAAGGGCATTGGGTGCCTCTGGATCTCTGGATGTAATACTCTGAGAAGGACACGTCACTTAAATATTATTCTGCTGGGAATACATAGCCCTAATCTCTTCATGAGGAAACATCAGACAAACTCAAATAAGGAGCTTTTCACTCAAAAAAAAAAAAAGGAAGGAAAGAGGACTGTACTTTTTTTAAAAAATGTCAATGTCACAAAAGACAAACCTGAAGAACTGTCCCCCATTACAGGAGACTGAAGAGACACAACAACTAGATGCATTATGTGATCCTGGACTGGCTCTTGTATGCAGGGGGAAAATGCTATAAAGGAGAGTATTAGATCAATTGACCAACCTGAAATAATGGACAGAAGATTAAAGTATTATGTCAATGTTAAATTTCTGAAAGCTAATAATTGTAACGTATTTACGTAAGAAAATCCTATTCTTTGGAAATACAGTCTGCAGTATTTGGAGGCAAAAGGACATGATGGATGCAACTGAGCCTCAAATGGTTCAGAAAAAAATCACAGAGAGAAGGGAAAGAGAAAAAGAAGGAGGGACTGAAGGAGAGCAAGGGAGTGTTCACAGGCAAATGGTAAGGTAAAGGGAGCAAAATGTCAATAAGAGGCAAATTGCTATAAAGGGAATATGGGTGTTCTTTGTACTATTTTTGCAACTTTTCGGTAAGTTTAAAATCATTTCCAAAATAATAAAACAAACAAAAAACATCTTCTCCCACTCAGACCAGTGAATTTAAAATAAGATGCACAGTGTTGCTAATCTCATAACTTTATTTCTGGAAATATCACCTAAATGTGGAGAAACTATTATGTGAAAGATGTTTGGCACAGCATTGTTCATAAAAGCAAAAAAATCTGAAAATATCACAGGTCGTTTTTAAAAGCCAGGGGATTGGTTAATTCAATTACGCAATGTAAACTCAAAAGAACATTATTTAAGTGCATTTACAAAAGTTTGTAACAATTGGAAATACATGATATAATATTAAGTGAAACAACAGGATTAAAATTGATATCTCCTGTATGTTCACAACTAAGTAGAAAGATAAAAAGGAAAAAAAACTCATACAAAAAGGGCTAGAAAGAAATCCAAGAAAATGTCAATACTAGTCATCTGCCTTTAGGAGATGGTTTATGGATGATTTTTTTCCCTTCTACTTTCCGTACACTCTAAATATATAATGTCTATACAATAATGATATGACAAAAAAGCTTTATTAAGATTACTTAATAGAAGTAAATAGAAGTAAGTTCTATTTATTTAAGTTCGTCAGGAAAACCTGTTATATAAGTAAATGATATGCAACTGTGGGTGTTCAGTTATCCAAATCTAATGAGCTACTTTTCGTCCTGAGATGAGAAATAAAATAGAGACAGGGAAGTCATACTAGGAGACAGTCTCTAGCGGTACTTATTTAAAGTTGTGTATCCACACACTCATGAGCTATTGATTTCTCCTTTCTCCTTATTCTGAGCCATCAGAGGACAGTAGGATTACTGTATACCATCCCATCCCACTCCCCCCATCTCACAGGAGGGAAGAGGAAGAGCAATGGTACTTAAAAGGATGGTGTACAAGACAGTGGCTTCATCAACCCCAAGCTTTAATTTATTGAGCCAGAGTCACATTTCTTACCACTTCTGCTCAGATGCTCAGGAGCATATATGTATTCAAGCTGAACGTCTTCAGTTCAGCCCCAGTTAATGTGGGTATTCTACAGGTGGGACTGGTCAAGCCCAGTTAGATTGGGAAAAGCCCAGAGAACTTGCTTCCACTTAGGGCTCAGTGATATTGATTGAGAGGGGGGAGAGATGGCACAGGGGAGGGGGGAGAAAGGAGAGAGGAAGCTGGCAGAGGGAA